TTTTTTTTGATAATAATTTTGTTGCACTTGTACACACGAACAAACCGACTTGCAACCAAAACACTTAACTATTATTATTATTTTTATTTTTATTTTTTGTTCATGCATAATATATTTATTGTTGTAATAATAAAACAAGACCTTCGAGGACTCAAAGTCCTGTCTTCTGATCTATCAGCGCTGTATATATTAAAAAAGCTTATTAAAACAACTATATATATATTATATAAGCTGTATACCTACTATACACGTATTTCTATTATTATGTTATCTGTTTCTTAGCTTTGTTCGTTGTACACTTTAACCTACAATAACAATATTATGTTTCTTCTTCATGAAAATACTTGTCTTGTACACTGCAGTATTATATCTAATACCTACTTTCCTAGAAAATATTAAGCCTATTGAATGTATAATAATAAGTAGGTAATAAGTAATAACACGTGGCACCAAAATACGTGCTTGTAGGCACACGTCCATAGCACTACATAATATAATAGCTTGAATATTTTTAATTTAAAAACATTATTATTATTATTATTATTATTTTTGTACCATATAATTTTCTCGTAATATTTAGTGTATAATATAATTATATGTCGATCGAAGAAGTGTGCACTTCCCGGCTGCGCGCAAATATAAAATAATTATAATATGTAAATATGTATGTATGTATGTAATATTATAATGTTATTGTCCGTGCAAAATGCTCGAGAATACCAGATCAGCCATTGGTACTGTGTTTTATGATTATATCTCCGGAAATTGGCATTCCTTTCGAAACAAAAATACGCGACTGTAATTAAAAACGAAAAATTAAATCTTTACTGAATCGTCCTAAAATCCAGTTTAAATCCTAAACATTTGTATCGAGCCAATAAGTTTTGCATATTCAACGATTATTTTATTTATTTCAGATTCGATTCTTAAATGATTAAATAGTATATAACAAAATAATACGATTTAAAACTTCGCTACTCTATTCACTCTTTATATTTATAAATTAAAAAAAAAAAAAAAAGTGATTCTGGTAATACAAGCGTAGAATTTTGATTATAAATTAAAATATTCTTAATCAATGTTAACAAAGTTACTTAACATAATCAACCGGTCTTTATTCCATTTTTACAATAATAATTAAAATACACAATAATTTACAACTGAACATTAAAAATATATAAATTTTAGATTATTGCATTAAAATGTTTATAAATACATGTTTTTCGTCTTCTTCCACATTTTTTATTTTTTTATCATAGTAAAATTTTTTTGAAAAGGGTAAAACAACTTCAAACAAACGTATAAATCAATACCGTTATAACAACATTAAACAAATAAAGTTTGGCGTTCATTAAATTATTTCTATTAAAAAACTGTTCAATACAGTAAATTGTTTATTTTACATAATATTACATATTTTACTTTCATTAAAATTGTGCATGCATATAATAATTATGTACCAAAAAACTTTAGGCAACTTAGATTGAGCTTAAATTATTTATTCAATGAAGATTTCGATTATTTATTTTTTAAGAAAAGAATTTTCTCAAAAGTCTATAAAAGTGTTTTTTTTTTATGAAAACTATACAACTATAATGATTTACTCTAATTGCTAAAATGGAGATGAATAATAAAAGCGATCATTTATGGCTTATACCATCCGTTGAAAACATAACATCGTTAACAATACTCAATATAGGTCACGGTGAGCTACGACCGTGTCGTCTCTGATGGCTTTGTGATAGCGGGACCGCTAAAGTTAAACGTAAAAAAAAAGTACTCGCAATAATAATTATTAGCACCACTGTGAGCCGTGTCAATTAGTGAATAATACACAGTTATAATATTATATGTTGTGTTATTATTGAAATCATTATCGTTATCGTWATTCTCGAGCGTTTTGCCTGGTGCGTGTACAGCGCACAAGGACCACGTACAGTTGCAGTGTATTATCAGTAGCCTAGTAGAGACGTGGTATGTTGTGTTGTTCCAGTGCGGACGGTAACTACGAGGTGACCCTTATGACAAAGGCGACCGTTTACTGTACGGGGCTCGTATTATGGCAGCCACCCGCCGTCTATAAGTCCTCGTGCTCCATCGACGTCGAGTTCTTCCCCTATGACGTCCAAACTTGCGTACTGAAACTAGGAAGTTGGACGTATGACGGGTTCAAGGTGACAATGATAATGTACCGCTTGGCCGGCAAAAAAAAAAATCTTCCTGGTTCATCGATTTAATGGCACCATCGTATTATAACGTTTTAACAAATATTATAATATTATGCCGTTTGTGGCCGTGCTGCAGTACCACACGATAATATCGTAATACAGAAATTATTATTTCGTGTGCATTGCCCGTGATACGCGTCTTACAAGGTCATCRTCGCCGTAGTCGGCGCCGCTCGCAGTCGCGATGAACTAACACGAAATTTTATAATATTAATATTATCACACCGACCGGCTGCCAGTTGATAACGTATAATAATAACTGACGGAATTGTGCCTTATACGCTATTCGTTTATTTTATCGATTACCACTCGCCGGGTAGACGTTTCTAATATCAATAATTCAAAGTGACGAGAAATCAACCGACCGACATCTTTGTTTCCGTCTCGCGCGGGACCATGATAATAATAAAATATAATATTGCGACGTCTACGTGGAAAAATCCAATTATAATTGTTTGACCTTGGGGAAGTGATTGCGTTTGACTGGTAGAGAGTTTGCTTCACGCACCGTAATGGTATATTGGGTAGTTAAAGGTACTTAGTAACAAAAAATTTAATATAGTTGTGTGCACGTATGTATTACATAGTATTACATTGTAGAGTAATATTATTATGTTTCCTTAGACATTTTAGATGATAAACGTACGGCAATATTTGTACTCGATGAACCAGGTACACGCGGGGCTTGTGTGATTATCATTTTGGGTGGAATTCGTTTTGTTGCGCTGTTGTGATAATAACGTGTCTTGATGAATTTGTGAAAACGTGATACAACCCATTATTATTAATTCATTCTACGCCTATCATAATAATAATAATAATAATAATAATAGTAATAATAATAATAATATAAAATCCTATACTTAACGTTCATTTTATTGACAATATAATATTTTCATACCCTAACCGATCCAACTTACGGATGGGTAATAGAATATAACGCAAACTATTATTATAAACAACATGGAGGGTAACTCATGGACCCCGAGGGCTTGTTTTTTAATATCCATCTGTATAGGCTGACTGTCATAATAGTATGCTATGATACGTACGACCCCATAAAAATATACAGTTAATTCAAAAAAATGCATTTCATTTTAAACCCTGGATTTTGATAATACGTGTATCCCGTTAACCCAATAAAATACATTTAACTCGATCGTTAAGATTAAATTATATACGCTTATAAACACCGTTCTTGACCTATTTGGAACTTATTCTCACATGTTTGAACATAAAAAAAAAAAAAACGGAAAACGCGACTTCAACACATTTATGGCCGTTACTTTGTACTTTTGTGACAGAGAAAACGTATTTTTTTGTATCTATTTAAAAGAACCTTCAAATTCCATAAAAGTCGAGCGATTGTTTAGTAGCATTTTCTACGACATCGAGAGAAAAAAAAWATAAATCGTGTTTTGATGATGTCCAATAAATTTGTTCCTTTAAGTGAACTTCGACCGAATTCGTCATAGGCCGCTCGAAAACGTGTCAACGAACAAAAGCCCAAGTACGTACTTCATTGTGTCTATCTACTCTAATTCATCCAGAACGACATAATAATATTATTATTGGTTTTGGTAATGTCCCGTATTTGGTTTTACCGCATATGTATGTCGTTGACAGAGTCGATGATAATATTTTAAAGATTCCTTCTCCCGCAATATGTGAACGAAACGAAGAAGCTCCGAAAAAAGCACGAAAACGACGGAAAATGAAAAAATAATAGAATAAAAGAATTGAAAGTGATATTAAACGCGATAGCCGAGATGAGTGCTCAGGGTGGTTATAAACATCATTGGGTGGGTACCAAGCAATATCTTATAGAAATCACGATTGACACTCAAAAACACTGCTGGTTGAATAATCATGGAAGAATACATACATAGTTATGTTTGTCAATCRTTCGAAAAAATCRTAATATTTTTTAAAATTTAGAGTCGCRTCAGAGACGTATCTCGTCTRGTTYACGGTCGCATTACATCATCTGAGCGGGAAAAGGCACTGCTCTAATTATAAACGAAGCGCACAGCTCTTTGACTCGATCAGCGGCATCGTACACCTTATACTATTTTAGACAAATTCTGTGTATATAACTACAACACAACGAGATGGAGGTACAACATTTGGAGTTTAGGTTTACACTAAACACATACCGTCGCCCGTATATACCTAAACTGTCATTTTGGTATATGGACAACAGACCTATAATGCATCTACGGTACCGTACTGCCGTGTGTACGAATCAACTAGTCAACAAAAGACGCCCTCTATCTTTTGGCGCTTTCCATAGTACACTCATTGCTTTTTAGTGGATTTAGGGTACACTGATCGGCGAACAACCACGTACTATACCATGGCCCAGGTAACCGGAATACGAAGGTCACGAGAAAACGTTATAATATAATCATAGACCTTATATATTCGTAGACGGTACATGTTGTAGTTACCCATGTTAACGATATTCTACGTACCATAAAGCACCGAAGCACAGCACACATGCGCACTAGAAACGCACGATAAAAATCAATATCAATAATAATGTACAAATATTGTACGATTTCTGCAATCAATTTATCATTATTCTTTACACACATGTTGATTGTTGTGATGGCTGTTATTTTATTTTTTGCACCAACTTGGTGCCACCAAGTATTTGCTGTCGTTTAATTCTTATATTTTCCACAATAGTTGATTTCGCGCTCTAATATTATCACAATTGTTATTGTGTAAAAATTAAAAAATATATAATTTTGTTCCGAGAAATGTGCATCACTGCAACACAACTTATCATCACCGCACCGTGGGCCTCAGGCCGGAAGGATATAATTGTTCCGTCTATAAGTATAAGGTCTATAAATATTGTATACACGCCACATAGTGACGACGGCTGCCATGATATGAGACGATGATAATAATAATAAATTATATGAACCGATCACCATGGAATAATAAATATTGATACTATCCGATGCGCAGAGCAACAACTATAGTGCAGGAAACGAATAGCTAGCACGTTCGACTGGTCAACTCCACAGTTGTAAGACGACTGTCACGAAGGTCCGCAATAATACTATGACGAACGATGCAAACAATATTGTAGACGAACGGTTGTTGAAATGTGATATTTCGTGAGCAATGTGTAGTGAACACGAAGACGAAGATCATAAAAGTAAGATATAAAATGCAATATCGTGTCATGCCGTCGATTCGTAAAGACATTATATAATTATACCATGTGATAATCACAAAATGGATATTTTCAGGGGTGATTGTAAACTTTCCCGATGGTRAACTCTCCCGGATTGTTGATATCGTTTTAAATATTTAAATCAAAAATACTTTAACGGTAATTAAATATTTAAATGACAAATACAGGTTAACACAAGATAAATACAGATTAAATACGGTAATAMAAWTCRTAATAAAAATTATAATCACAATCTCTGCAGTGTAACTAATTCATAGGGTAGCAATAACATTTAAAATAACTCGGGAGAGTTTGCACATTTCTTTCAGGAAAACATAATATTGACCCGGGAGAGTTTACACATTTCTTTCAGGTAAACATTATTTTTACACGGGAGAGTTTACTAGTTTTAAAAATCGGAAGAGTTTACCATACAATCGGGAGAGTTTACTACCACTCATTTTCAGAGCCTAAACTTTGATTATAAACACTACTTTAGGAAACTTATTTTGAAAAAAAAAATRTCAAGTGTAAATAGATGTTCAGTAGCAAAATTTGTGAATTTTATTAGGCTGCGTCTCGGGCAAAATGACACATGGTATGGGTGTCCCATAACAACGCTCCCACTTCCAAATTCGGTATKACGAAGGTGGGCTATTGTGTGAGGTTTTTCAAAAATAAAACACTGGGTGGAAATAATAATATTTCACCATTATGCTAAATGATGTTGTTTACTATAGGTATATTATCGCATGCCTCCATATTCCCGATTTTGTAAACACAGTAAGCCCGTGTAGAAAGTTTGCTAGAACCAGACTGTGGCTGTACGATAATTTAGGCTCTTGAAACTCTTCGATATCGGTTAGCAGCCCACTATTGGTTAAAGCTGATGCATCGTCGCTAACATGGGCGGATAGGTACTTTTTTTTTACCGAGATATATTTATTGGGGCCTCATATAACTAGGGCCTATATATTATATTATATATATAAAAAAAAAAATACTTTTTACAATAAAATCATATTATATATTATGTACTACAAAATAACTTTAAAAAAAAAATATATAATTATTAAAATGATAACAAATTTTTAAATGTACTATTCCTAGCAGATAATTTATTGATCACATCATTTGAATCAATTGTACTCAGTAAATCTTTTTCAACRTTCATTAGCATGAAACTTTCYAAAAYGTYTYGRSCCAATGTATTTCTCAAGTAGTTTTTTATATATTTCAATTTAGAAAAACTCCTTTCACATCCTACTTGTGTCACGGATAATGTCAGCATTAGTTTATACGCAACAAACAGACTGGGATATGCATTTGTGTATAAGTTGTACTTCACAAGCACATATACGGGTATCAACGCGTATTACACAGAGGCATCTAATAGCTGATGGTATATACAAAAATTACAATTTAYAAATACGCAGCCGGTATTATTCTACAGTCTCATAAAGATTAATCGGGAAAATCCCGATTTCCCGATGGGCCTATCCCATATTCCCATGGGCCCATGGTCGCTAAACTACGAAACTCACGCATGAAACTATTTAATCTATTTAAAATAATATATTTTTTCAATTCCAAACATTATATTTTTGAATGAACATTACAAAAACGTACAAAATGTTRCATTTTCCTATTTTTCTATTCCATAAAATACATAGAAGATTTAAATTTATTTAATTCAATATTAACAACAATTTCTTTCAATTTACTCCTAAAATCACTGTTCATATTTTGGTACGAATAAAACTATTATCACGATAATAAATTATACTAAAATTATTTGAGTTTTTTAGGCTGCGAGTACCTTCGTATATATTATTTTTAAGTACCTTTTTAATATCTTATATTTTAGTTTGATGACTTTTATAAWAAAAAAATTAATCTAATTCTATTAGAAATGTATAGTGTACATTCAAAATAGATGTTTTTAAATGTATTGTTATCGGGTTCCAACTCCAATACATGATTTATCGAAAACCAGTCATTATAAATTATTATATGCGATAGGAACCTAGGTACAACTAGTTATCATCTAAATCGTATAGACTATAGGTATAACTAATTTAAACTTAAACTATAGTAAACTTGTAAATATTTCGGGATTGATATCACTAAATATTGATTTTGTAGAATATATTATTATCCCTCAAAATAAACATTTTCCAAGATTTACGAGATGTTTTAAAATGTTAAGATTTTTTATAACCCTCCAGTATAATAATATAATATCCATGTTTTATTTTATTTTATCACCGACGTTTTCTCGTCTTACGATCACTAACACCATTTTCAGAAGCAAAGTACTATGCCCCCGTAATCTTTAACATTAGAATGTCAAGTAGGTATAAAGTATACTTTCAAAAAATAAATTATGCTATTCTCGTACCTTTATCGTAAAATAAAGCTGACTRTATTAGAATATCGCACACTAAACAGAATTGCCCACCACCACCCTCACAGATAACAAGGGTTGTCCGACACTCCAACGTATAAATAAAACCTTGACAAAAAAAAGCATTAACAATGTACYTATTACGAACGCATTTCGTATTCTTATGAATACGTAATAATACGTGTGAATACTGTGAATACAATATGAATTTTATAGTTTCCAAAAATATTCTATTGCCATTTGTGCAATATATTACTTTAGTGTTGGTATAATGCGTACGATTCAGGGAATTAGAACCATAATGATTAGTGTTCACTTTTGGTGGGTACGCTCCAACTTACTGCGGTCGGAAAAGTTTTAGAAATATTTCGTTCTCATTAGTACTCTCGTGGCCCTTAAGTTTGACATAAATTACGGYGATTCATTCACTCTCCAATTGGATTATTCATCATTAGATAACATGTATTTCTTAACATTTAGAATTGTCAGAAATTTTAGTTTTCGTCCCAAAAACTACGAACCACCATTGAGATCTTATCTGATAATCGGGGTAAGAAATGTCATGAGGGTTTAAGTTCTCAAGCTTAATACGTATTGGGAGATATTCACACATTCGCCTAATATGCATTTTCTGTACCAAAAGTTCACATTGCTAAAACCACAAAATCGGTTGGTACATAATAGTCTTAATTATATAATTTAATGTAGGATCCTACTCATATGAATAATTGGAATTAATTTAGTAAATGTACTGTAGGTAAGGAATTCATAGCCATTTATATCATGCCTAAGAAACAAATTATAATTTTTCCGAAAAGTAATTATCACTCACTATACGTGTATAATTTTCAATCAACAATAATTAAACAGAAAGTTTAAATAATTTAATATCTAATTATCGAATATACCTAATACACAATTTATTATAATATTAATCAAAGTGATAAATATAAAAATAGACATGAATAATTAATATTGTGTAAAAAACGCTTAAATGTGCCGAAAAATATTCATTTTTTTCCATAGGTAATATTATGACAGCTCCCATCTATAATATAATTATATTATGGTTAAATATTAGTGTCATTCAGTAAACCGCTTTTTTTTTTAGCAACATGGTTTGTTCGTATTAGTTGGTTATTTAAAATTTTTTTTTATTTTTTTTTTTCATTATGTTTTTAGCTTTAAATAATAGTAATTACGCTTCAGTAGTTTTTAAAATGTTTGTATAAGATTTTGAACATTGTATATAATATATTTGCTATTCTGTGTACTTATTATCATCAAAGAAAGCTACGGAAAGAAACAAATTATTTCCATTAAAAAATAAATAAAAAAAGATTTCTTGCCCAAACAGTTGACAACAAATAAAATAATAATAAAAAAACAAATTCATTCTCATATTTATTATACAATAATGAAAAAAAAAGTCTTTCGGCTGTAATGAGAAAATAAATTTTCTAATTTCTCCCAATATTAGATACGTATTATACTTAGTAAAATATAGTACTATATTTAGTAAAATATAATATACCCAGAATATATTATGGTGAATAAAAAAGWAGTAATATGACGTTTGGGCATTTTTACGAATTTTGTTCTTAATTTCATCAAATTTATAGCACGATCGGAAATATTGATAGTTGTAGGCACGAGTACAGAAAAAAAGAGGAAGGAATATTATGAAGTTAAAAAATTATTTGGAAGGAGGGTCACATGAACATAAAAATAAAATTTAAATTAATCTTACATGAGTCTATATCGGTAAAATTTCTATCTTAAATACATTTCAAGTAGTTAGCCCCCAACCCCACTTGTACACGTGACTGCTTACACGAGGTTACTATAGGTACTTATTAAGCTTATTGACGTTGGTGGTTATTCACTTTTTCGTCAAAAATCACAGAATATACCTTTTAAAAGTCAAAAGTAAATTTCCAGTGTGCTTGAAATAAGCATGTTTCCAAGTAAAATTACATTTATCCAGCCAAATAGTAGATGCCTATTTATGTGTATGTGAATAAAGTATTTTTGTAAATTATACAAGATATGTAATACTATTTTGATATATTGTTGTCAGTTATAAATTTAATTTTCGCAAACCATTAGAAGATCTTTACTTAATACACATTGATTACTGTTATTTCCTAATTTTATTTCCAATATAATATTATAATAAAATTATACTGCTTTGTAAGTAAGTTCCTTAATCCATTTTTTCAACGTTTTACATTAAAATTGTRTTCTAGGTTTTTTTATTCTCGTGACAAAGGAAATTGTTCTCTTAACACTATGCAGTCGTTCATAAAAACACTGTMAGGAAATCGTTAAACATTTTAGACGGAAGCTTAGATACACGCTGTAAAATCACGCTGTAAAATAATAATCGCATTGATATTCTACAATGGTTGTTTGGCACTTATTTGAACAATTTTTAAAATAACTTAAAACAATCATTTAACATATATTTTCCAAATATATGATTTTCCTATTCACTTCTAATTATTAACTGTGGTTGAATAAAATCAAAGCTTCAACAAGTCACCACATCCCAGATTATAGCTTATAGATTATTTGTATTTTTTATGGTTCAAAAAAAAAAACAACGATTTAATTTTAAATTTTAGAACCATCTTTATTAATTTGAATACGAAAAACTGTTTGGTTTATTGATTTGATTTTATTACTTGTTTTTGACTTATATTTTAAACGTAAAAACACAATTTAATGTATTTAGATTTTAAATAAAATATTACATAAGTAAGAAAATATTATAATACCGACTAATCTAACGTTAAACTTTTTAACACCCCGTTTGCAAATTTTTTTTTATGAGAAGAATTATTTTTAACTATGAGATCAACGTATAGCACTACTTATTTTAGCACTTTAAATTGTGTTTGAAATTATTGCAATTAATTCCACAATTTAAACGCTTAATCTAATCCTCAGTAAATTAATTGCAACCTTAAGTAAAATGCTTTTAGTCGAGCGATTAAAAAATAATCATATTTTATTGAAAATTATAGTTCAAATAAAAAAAAATAAATACTTTTTGAAACAGCGAGCGAATTCGTTTTCAAAAGGTCATGAAAATCTGTCGATCCGTAGCTTTCTTTCATGTCGTCCCGCATTATCCTAGTGCAACCAGCCATGTGTCGGTCCCAGTTAATATTAATTTTTTTACCCTCTTTTTTTAAATCATAATGGAACCAATGAAAAATGCATTAGAGTCGTTTTGCAGGTAGATTTGAGACACATGGACGAAAAGGTCGGTTCGAACATCGTCGACGTCGGAGTGGATCTCTCAGAATTTTACATGTCAGTGGAATGGGATATACTGGAAGTACCGGCGGTCAGGTAACATATTAAAAATAGTTAAAACTGTGTAAACAAATGCATAAATTGTGAAAAAATAAATTACTCACATATATCTACAACGGGCGTGTATGTCTCTTATGAGTGTATAACCTGAATCGAAAAGCACGATTTTTGTAAAGGCACTCATAAATTATTCAACATTACGCGATCCATATATATATTTTATAAAGAGTATAATATATATACCTTGGCCACTTTCTACGGGTCACAAACACAAACTTCACACGACGTACTATAGCTGTAGCCTGTAGTAACCGGCTGACGATCGTATGTGATAAAGACGAGTTTCTCGTTAAAAAAAAAAAATTAAAAAAATAATACCCCAAAATAATACAATTTTTATTTTATTTAATATAATATCATTTAAGTGTTTAAGACGATTCCTTAAGGCTTAAGGCTTAWGCTACTATCTTAAATCGACAGTATATTGTTCCGAAATCGTAATTCATGGTCTATAAAAAAAATACGTGTCAGCAGCATATTGTTACAAAATTCATTTTGACATTCGTAATAAAAATATTATGTAAAATATAACATATCATTATTTTTTACGTATATAATAAAAAGCATAGAAAAAAGAACAAATTGTTTACGCTCAGAGATTCCCGATTACTTATTTTTATTTTTGTCGTTACTCCGAAAAATAAACGAATACATTTTAATGGGGTGGAAAGTTTTTTTTTTTTTTATTTACATTACGATGTGCTTTATAAAGTCAAGAATCGTAGTTGGTTTAGATTTTAGCCCCCAAACTCCTTTTTTTTCGGTTAGAATGAAAACTTTCTTTGCATTCAGTAATATTTCGACGTTGAAGATATTTTCGCAGATAARAAGGAAACCATTCTCCATTATATTTTCATCACATTATTTTATTAGATTCGTATTCTGTTAATTTTAGTTGTTATATTATAACCGTTCGAGACTACTAAAATGTATTTATATTTTAATTTGTTAAAACGTTTCATAATCCTTTATTCTACTTACTTTTATAAAAATGTATCAAATACGTTGTTTTAATTAAAATGTATGTTCAATTATAATACTATACTATTTCCAATTACATCGGACCTCTTAAACATTTAAATAGCTGTTATTTCTTGAATTTCTAAATGACCATTAGCATAATATATTAATAATTTTGTTTTGGTTGTGTTAAAAAAAAAAATGATGACAACATCCATTCTATCATAACATCACGTGAGTTATTGGAAAATGCAATTTTTATTTTCTTCCTTTGGATGACAAACGTGACAAACCATCTACACATATCCACATGTCTCACATAATATATTGCACTCAATATTCGGAACGACAGCGGAACTCTCATGACCGATTTGGCCTTGTGAGTTTCATTTT